GATAAAATGCCTCTGTTCATTTCTGATAAACCGGTGCTACTAGGAAGTACTGCCTTGAACATAAATTTTCATGACCTAAGTGCTACTCTAAGACTGAGAAGATTATCTATGAAGAATAGAAAGAAAATTTCTAAGGCATAGTATAGTCACATGGCACCTATTACAAGAGTTGATTTCCACTGAAACTGTAACTCCCTGCATAGCCTGAGGGAAAGGGGGCTGGCGTCAAGAAAAGGGAAGACTTTCCCATTATATAGAATATCTCCTCTTCGGACAATCATTGTCCTTTTGGTTGATGTCATCTGAAACTACATGGGAAAAATTAAGTTAATCATCTATTCAAATCAATCACACTTGCAAACGATACCAACTGTGATCGATTTGAGTAGATGATCAACTTAATTTTTCCCATCTAGTTTCAGACGCCACCAGCCAACCCAGAGACTTAGAGACAACTAGATATTCAGCCTAGAGAGAGGCTGAGCAATCAGAGCTATTGGTGGAGAGTTTCAGACTCGACTGAATACAAGGATTTATTTCAGTGAGTAAGAGGAACACTGTCCACAGTCCTCTGAGGACGGCTTCTCACTGTGGACATGCCTGTCCCTGGCCTAGAGAAAGGAAAGGGAAACCAGTGATGACCAATCAGTGGGGAAGTGAAAAATGTGAAGAATGAAAACGTGAGAGAGAGAGCGAGCAAGAAAAACACCAAGAGGAAAGTCCATCGCCCACCAGGTAAAGACTGAATCTCTAAATCAACCTCCAGTGGCTTCTTATTCTAATTAAACCACAATTCAAACTCCTCCTGAAGACTTGAAGGTGTCTCATAAGCAGTCTTCTGCTTGCCTCGCTGACTTCCTCTCTTCCAGCTGGCCCTTTTGCACTCTTCACCATCTACAAGTTCTTCAAACATCCCCCATTCATTTATGCCTCGGGGTCTCTGCAGCTGCTGTTTCCTCTGTCTAGAATGCTCCTCACTTGACTGGCTTCTTCTCTTCATTCCTATCTTTCTTCATACACCCACTCCTAACGGCAGCTCTCTGACTGCCCTAAACTGGCTTCCCCAGGTCCTGGCACACCCCCACAATGAACTGTCTTCATAACACTCATTCTATCTGAAAAGTGTTTCCCCATATATGTGTGTCTGATTTATTTATCCCATTTCCCACAGAAACATAAGCTCTGTAAGAGCGGAGAACGTGTTTTGTTCAATGCTACACACCCACCTAGAACATCTCCTGTACATGGTAAGGATGCAATAAATACTGGTTGAATTTCAAGTTCCACCATATAGATGACTGCAGAAAGTCACCCAGAAGCCACTGCGAAACTGCTCTCTGCCCCTTTTTGTCGCCCTATCAAAGCGCAGTGACCATGACCCACAACCACACCAATTCCAGACACGCCACGGGGGTGAAAATAACATCGCCTCCCTTGGAGAAATCGCCAGCTTCCTTGCCATTTCCTCTCCTGGAGGCCCTGTTCTCTCATCTCCCACAGATCTTTCCATCCCCAATCACATAAAAAGTAAGTCAATGTTTAAAGAATGCTTCAAAAACCAGCATTACTCTGTGCAAGTGGAAGAAATGATGCCCCTAGCACATTGCATCTCAGGAATAAGGGGGAAGAAGAGAGAATACAGAAGAAGAGACCCTTCACTCAGCTTTCTAGTGTTTATGATGAGAAAATCACCTAAAGGTTGGGTGCTTTCCTCCTCCTTTTTCCCAATGGTCCAGGAAGGTGAAAACCCTGATCAGATGCAGAAGGTTGTGGTAGTAAGTGGTAAGCTGCTCATTCCTCCCGGGATGACCAAAAGATCTCCAAAAAGAAAAAAAGAAATATGGACATGGGGAAGAGACTGAGATCCTACTGCTCCTCTCTCTCTCTTATCCTCATATCCTCACCCACAAAATAGCATTGCTTCTTAGCCCAACAGCCTGTCTGGCAGCCAAGTTCCTGACCAATTTAGCCCCATCGGGAGAAAAAAAAAAACCTGCTACCCTACTACAGTGAGAACTGTGCTTCTGACACCCTGAGATGGAACCATAAATACAGCTTTCTACAAAAACACTGTGATGTCCAATGCACACATCCTGTTCCATACATCAAGTGCACTCCAAATTAAACACTTCAATTCATCAGGTTGAATCGGAAACTGTGGTGTATGCTGTTATCCACTGTAGTTAGGATAAACAGGAGAGATTCATTTCAATAGTGACAGTGAGGATGTAGCCCTGGGAAGATTTCTTCCAGGCAAAAGGAACTTCCCTGAAAATATATTCAGAATGAAAAGACCATTCAGAACCTAAGCTATTGGCAATAACAGGCCCCTGTAAACCTGGCCAGACACAACCCACCCAAGGGGCATGTCAAGGATGTGAAGATAGAAGATACCTGTTGAAAGGCTGAAACTAGCAAGAGGAAAGACAAAGTATCAGAGCACCCCCCCCCCCTCAGGAAGCCAAGCCTGAGGGGTAATTAAGAAGGTGTGTCCAGATGGGAGAGGTGGATACAAGTGAGGGTGTGGAAGGTGCAGGAGAAAGCCATGCAAACAGTGGACGAGCCTGTGAGGAACATCTGCTGCTGAGGCTTCCTGGGACCCCTGCAAGGCAGAAGTGAAGCGACCCTCCTGTGATCAATCTAAGTCACTTAACCTTGGGCAGTCTCAGGTGTGTGTTTTTCATTATAAAATAAGGTCAAGCACTCCTGTCTCCTAGGGTGGCTGTGAAGATTACATAAACTAGCACAGGTGAACTCACTGGGGATCATAGTGGGAACCACCTGAGTTTTCTGCTTTCCTCTCCTCCTCAATAAGCATCCCCTAGAATGCCCTTAAACAGGGCACAGGTCCCCAGTCTGAATGCAATCACAACGGAAAAAAGCCTATTGGTAATCTGCATGGTTAGCAGATGATGCTTATCAGAGAAACATGGGAAGCACAGCATTACTTCCCTCTCATAATATTCCATTCAACCCACCCAAGGGGCATGTCAAGGATGTGAAGATAGAAGATACCTGTTGAAAGGCTGAAACTAGCAAGAGGAAAGACAAAGTATCAGAGCACCCCCCCCCCCTCAGGAAGCCAAGCCTGAGGGGTAATTAAGAAGGTGTGTCCAGATGGGAGAGGTGGATACAAGTGAGGGTGTGGAAGGCACAGGAGAAAGCCATGCAAATAGTGGACGAGCCTGTGAGGAACATCTGCTGCTGAGGCTTCCTGGGACCCCTGCAAGGCAGAAGTGAAGCGACCCTCCTGTGATCAATCTAAGTCACTTAACCTTGGGCAGTCTCAGGTGTGTGTTTTTTAATTATAAAATAAGGTCAAGCACTCCTGTCTCCTAGGGTGGCTGTGAAGATTACATAAACTAGCACAGGTGAACTCACTGGGGATCATAGTGGGAACCACCTGAGTTTTCTGCTTTCCTCTCCTCCTCGATAAGCATCCCCTAGAATGCCCTTAAACAGGGCACAGGTCCCCAGTCTGAATGCAATCACAACAGAAAAAAGCCTATTGGTAATCTGCATGGTTAGCAGATGATGCTTATCAGAGAAACATGGGAAGCACAGCATTACTTCCCTCTCATAATATTCCATGTGACATGGAACACAGAAATATCTCCAACAGAAGCAAACTGCTGCCACTATTGTTTAAAATGAGTAAACTTGAAAATTACAATTTTCACAAAAGACAGACTGATTTTTTTTAAATGCTATGTCTCCTAAAGTCATTCTTCTGCCAACACTATTTCTATTCCTTTTGAGCTTCAAGGATTTGTATTGATTTGGGGCATGAGAACAAATTATTTCCAACAAATCTACTGAAACAATCAAAACAGCAATCTCATTCTATTACACCATAATACGGAGACACGGTCCAACCTGAAACTGACAACCAGAGAGGGATTTGGTGAAAATACTGCTCAAGAGAAGGCCTCCGCTCCCCCCACCCCCCTCCACGATTAAGGAACGCTTGATGCCAGAACAGAAACACAGTTTCTAGAAAAGTTCTTTTCTCATAAACCAAAGTTGCCATTATCTCAAGTGCTTCCGGGCCAATCAGCCTCATTCGGAGACGACAGACTAGATCATCTAAGAGTGGCTCTATACAGATCTTCTTACTAAAAGTCGGCGGCGAGACTAAAAGGAAGGGAAAACAAATCAATTTACAAATGTCAAATCATCATGCTTCAAATGTAAAATAGCCTGGCAACCTGACCAGATCTTCCCCAATATGGAACATCTCCATATAAGTCAAAAGATAATTTCTCAGCCGGCAGCCGGGACAGGAAGTTTTAACACTGGAAAGTCAAATATCAAAGCTAGCCTTGTAAAAGCAGCTAGCAGAAACCNCGGGGAGCACCCGGGTCCGCGCGCCCCCCACTGCCTGAACCCGGGGCGCGGGGCAAGCGCACGCAGGCTCCTGGGGGTGGGAGGGTGCCTGGAGGCGCGCCCCCCGGCCCCTGATCCTCAGTCTCAGAGGCAAAACCCGCGGATCTCCCCGCACCCCCAACCTCCCTCCCCCGGGCGATGCCAACCCTCAGCGAAGCGGGCCGGGGAGTTACCCGCCGAGGCCCAGGCGCGAAGACCGCAGAAGCGCGCGGGGCTCCGGGGCCGGGAGCTCGCCCGCAGCCGCTCGCTCCAGCCGGGTGCTGCCTCTCCCGCGGAGCCCGCAGCATCGAGCAGGCGGAAACCGAAGGACGGTGGCGCGGATCTGCGGCGGCCCAGGAAGGAGGCAGTCTCCCCGGACCCGGCGGGGGACCGGCCAGGGCGCGCCGGCGCCGCCCGGGGTCCTAGGCGCCCGGCGGCGCGTGCGCTGCCCACCGCGCCCGGGGCCGGATCCTCGGAGACTGCGCCGAGCGCCTCCGGAGCCGCGGGGAAGCTCCTCCCGCGGCAGCGGCTGCGGCCGCCCCCGAGTGCGCGGAGGAAGGTGCGGGGCAGTGAGAGAGCCGCTGGGGCCCCGCGGCCCCCTGGCAGGCGAGGCTGGAGCGCAGCCGAGCCCCTACCTTTCCTGCTGGCGGGACTCCAGCCGCGCGCCCTCCCCGGGCGTCCCGGACAGGAAAATCACCGGGGGAGGGCCCGGGGAAAGCGGCGGGTGGCTTTGGACGAGGCAGGAGGATCAGGTTCCACAGCCAAGGAGACACTCCCTTCCCGCCCCGGTTTTTTTGGAAAGCTGCAGGGGCGAAAGAGAGGGGCGGCTAGGGAGCTGCCTCCTCCCCCCGGGCTGGCAGGCGGCAGAAGTAAACACTTTTTGCTTGGCGCGGCGGGCACTTCTGTGACTCGAGGCGGAGCAGGCGGTTTGGTCCCCAGCAGAAAGGGCGGGGGTGTCTAGAGAGACCAGAATTGCTGGGCTCTGCCCTTCAAGGACAAATGTGTTAGTGCTTTTTCTCTTTTGGAGGAAACGATACGTTAGGGGGAAGGAAGATGAGATGTGTAGTTTCTTGTTAAAATAGGTCTGCCTTGAGAAAAGCGTATGCTATAGTGATGATACTTGGACAGCTGTGTTTTTTAAATGTCAGTGTTTGTGAAATAAATCATATGCCATCAAATGACCCCTGGGAGAAGAGCCACAGACTTGGGTGCAGTTCAGAGTGAGTAACGTGTCAGGCAACTGAAACAAAGTCCTTTGTGATGGAACTTCTGGTGTTGCTGTTAATTTTAACAACGGCCCTAAGAGGCAGCACTTGTTATTTTCCCAATTTTATCAAAGAATCGGACACGACGGAGCACACACACACACACACACACACACAGTCAAAAAACCCAGAGAGTTCAGGAAGTCCCCAATCTTACCCTTTCTACAAATTGCCTCTGTAGTAACCCACACAGATTTTGTAATTATAAAGGTGGTGCCTCAAACATCTGAGTGGTGGCGGTGGATTAGTTCCTAAACTGTGTCTGACTCTTTGAGACCCGGTGGATTGTAGACCTCCAGGCTCCTCTGTCCATGGAATTTCCAGGCAAGAATACTGAAGTGGGTTACTATTTCCTTCCCCAGGGGGTCTTCACCACCTCACCCAGGAAATGAACCTGGGCCTCCTGCATTTCAGGTGGCCTTCTGCATTGCAGGCAAATTCTCTACCGACTGAACCACAGGAAGAGGGTATTTGTCCAACTGGGCCCATTTTTCTTGATGTTACTTTGCTCTTTTAGGTTCCCCTGAGTTTATTACCCTTCTTATGTTCATCATCTTCAGAATTAAAGCAGTGATTTTACCTCCTACTCTCTAGATTTCCTAGGACTTTTTTTTTTTTTAATGTGGACCATTTTTCGTTAGTCTCTATGGAATTTGTTACAATATTGCTTCTATTTTATGTTCGGTATTTTGTCCCCAGGGCATGTGAGACCTTAACTCCCTGACCAGGCATTGGAACGTGAAGTCTTAACCAGTGGACTGCCAGAGAAATCCCTTTCCTAGGATTCTTGAATCTGCAAAGTCATTTGTTAAGGGAAGAGGCAGTCCACTATTCTTAGGTGACATTTGTGCTTCTTCATGGTCAGTAGTGGCCAAGAAGACGCTATTCACCATAACCAAGTTCAAATTCCACTTCCTCCTCTGGCCTGTGACCTTGAACAACTGACTTAACCTCAGTGTGCTTCCTTTTGATCACCTGTAAAGTGAGAGAGTACAACCTCTCTTCCGGGGTTGTGATGAGGATTAAAATAGATGATGAAGTAGAGAGTTCTTGGCACAATGCTTATCACAAAAAACATCAATCAGGAAGTACAGATATTAACTACCAGTTCTTTCCTATCATGAGTCAACTACCCTTCATGTATCATGTCAGTTCCTCCCATTCATCTTACAAACCAGAATAATCTCATCCCAGAAATGATGAAACAGAGTCAGGAGGTTACATAATATGCCCAAGATCATACCTACCTATTTTGGAGCTGTGATTTGAATCAAAGTACCTAGAACTAAAATAATTTTTTTTCCAGAGTGCCTTACCTGTTATGTAACTATCTGGGCAGGTGCTTTTGACATGTCAAAGATTTTTTTTTAATGCAGAGTACATTATTTCTTAGGCACATGATTGCAACTATGTAAAATTTTTGAATTCTTGTGGAAGGTGGTAAAGAATTAAGCAAGGTAAATTTGTAGCAGTCTCTGGGCTACAACGTTTTCCCAGTGTAAAGATAATTTTTGTGTAGAAGATTTATTCTATTAAAGTGGGAGGGGGGGGGCCAGGAAATAAGAGAGAACTATTGGGACATGCAGGGTCTTTTAAAGGTCCTTGAAATCATAATATTTAGGCAGTGTACATATAGGGTTGGCCCAGTTTGCTAGGTTTGTTTTTTTATTATAGATGGTGTGATCTCTTTGAGTTAAAATGACATTGTTTGATGGGATGTTTCCCAGGGTATCCAGGGACTGGTGAAAGCCAGGTTCCCCACACCACCCTGGAGTGCCATTTAGTACGCTGGAGAATCACAGTCTAGAGTAAAGTTCAAGAAAGTAGTATTTCTTCCTGACCCCAATATATGACCTGCCTTCCAAACTGTCACACCCTAGCCAAAGCACAGGCTTTCTTGGCATGATTGACATAGGACTGTCTACTCTGTGCAGAAGAGACCTACTTGGAGGGGCATGCTCTCAGCAGGTCACATCAGAGCATAGTAGATGAACCTTAGGACTGCAGATACAAAGTGACAAGAGACCTCTTTCACACAATATCCTCTTTTAAGTTTATGGGGGTTTGAGGGTGGGAATGTTTTCTTTAACATTCTCAATATGCCAGCAAATTTGGAAAACTCAGTAGGGTCACAGGACTGGAAAAAGTCAGTTTTCATTCCAATCCCAAAGAAAGGCAATGCCAAAGAATTCTAAAACTACCACATAGTTGCAAAATAAATAAATAAATAAAACTACCACATAGTTGCACTCATCTCACATGCTACCAAAGTAATGCTCAAAATTCTCCAAGCCAGGCTTCAATAGTACGTGAACCATGAACTTCCAAATCAAGCTGGATTTAGAAAAGGCAAAGGAACCAGAGATAAAATTGCCAACACCCATTGGATCATCAAAAAAGCAAGAAAGTTTCAGAAAACCATCTATTTCTGCTTTATTGACTATGCCAAAGCATTTGACTNTGCCTTCTAAAACTGCCCTCGTGCCCACCCCCAGGACTCCTGCTGTCTCTTCATGTCACAGGTTTTAATGCCAGCTAACATACACTCACGTATGGACTATGGAGAAAGCTGAGCGCTGAAGAATTGATGCTTTTGAACTGTGGTGTTGGAGAAGACTCTTGAGAGTCCCTTGGACTGCAAGGAGATCCAACCAGTCCATCCTAAAGGGGATCAGTCCTGGGGAGCTGGTGATGGACAGGGAGGCCTGGTGTGCTGCAATCCATGGGGTCGAAGAGAGTAGAACACAACTGAGCGACTGAACTGAACTGAACATTCTCAAGGCTTGCGGGATTCAGTTTTAAACAGTACCTGGCTGGAGACTGAACTTGACCAACATATGGTCCTTCCTCCAACTCTAGGTAGAGATCCTGCCAGCTCTGTCTTCTGATTATCTTGTGGTTTTATCTCCTACGAGCAATTATTTGTCACAGTGGCAAAAAATCCGCCTACCAGTGCAGGAGATGTAAGAGACACAGGTTCCACCCCTGGATTGGGAAGATCCCCTGGAGCAGGTAATGGCACCCTACTCCAGTATTCTTGCCTGGAGACTTCCGTGGACAGAGGAGCCTGGTGGACTACAGTATATGGGGACTCAAAGAGTCAGAGCTGACCAAGTGACTGAGCGCAGGGAACTAAGACCTATCACACTGCCTGCTGCAGCCAAAAAGATAAAAAATTCAAGGGAATGTGGATCTCAAAAACAATAAACCAGTGTGTACGGAATGTAAATCTTAGAGCTATGACTCTGCCAGCAATGTAGAAAATGGCAGTTAGTACTCTCAAGCAGAACCCTGGCTTCTCCAACATCTCCATTCCAGAGCAGGTTATCAGCTACATGTTTGCATACATAAATAAGCATTGTATTGTTTTCCCCAGAATTGTGAGTGCATGAAAAAGGAATTCAAGTCTACCAGAAAGCTTATTTGCCACTTCATAAATGATAGTGTCTCCTGATTGTGCTAGTCCTGTCAAGGTTCCAGAGGTCTTAGTGGCCCAGTAGTTATCAGGGACTGCATTTACTCTCCTTCCACAAGCTAGCAGAGGTGGGTGGAACTGGGGCTCAAAGTGTCCTAAGCACAGGAGCATGTCAGTATCTACCTGATGGGAGGCAAAATTAAGACAGCTGATGGAAAATGATTGCAATATTATTAAAAATGGTTAATATCCAGAATAAATTAAGAATTCCTATGGATCAATGAAAAGGACAACCCATTTAAAAAGAGAGCACAGGACATCAGCAAGCAATTCACTGAAGAAATACAAATTATCCAAAAACATGCAAAAATTTTAGTGTCTTTTTATAGTAACACTATGTGAGAAAATCTAGATAGTAGTGAGAAATCAGATAAGAAAAAAAAAAAAGGAGGGGGTGGCAGTGAGAGAGTTAATGAGAGCTCCGCTAGCTATCCAGTGGTTAAGAATCTTCCTGCCAGTGCAGGGCATATGGGTTTCACAACTATGGAGCCCAGATGCTGTAACTACTAGGACTCAACTGCTCCAGAGTCTGTGCTCCATGACAAGAGAAGCCACCACAAAGAGAAGCCCAAACACCGCAACAAAGACCCAGCAAGGCCAAAAATAAAATAAGCAAATCTTTTTTTCTTTTTTAAGTGAGTTAATGAGTTTCTGGCAAAGGTGGCAAGGAATCTATTCAAATAAGTGTAAAGAACTACTTCCTTTTTAGAGAGCAATTTGGTGGTTGCTATCAGATCAGGAAAGGAGTATGTCAGGCTATGTCACCCTGCTTATTTAACTTATATGCAGAGTACATCATGAGAGATGCTGGGATGGATGAAGCACAAGCTGGATCAAGCTTGCTGGGAGAAATATCAATAACCTCAGAAATGCAGATGACATCACCCTTATGGCAGAAAGCAATGAAGAACTAAAGAGCCCCTTGATGAAAATGAAAGAGGAGAGTGAAAAAGTTGGCTTAAAACTCAACATTCAGAAAACTAAGATCATGGCATCTGGTCCTATCACTTCATGGCAAATAGATGGGGAACAATGGAAACTGTGAGAGACTTTATTTTGGGGGGCTCCAAAATCACTGCAGATGGTGACTGCAGCCATGAAATTAAGACACTTGCTCCTTGGAATAAAAGCTACGACCAACCTAGAGAGCCTATTAAAAAGCAGAGACATTACTTTGCCAACAAAGGTCC